AGTCTGAACTAATTTAAGAAAGCAAACCATAATACTTCACTGGTAAATGGAACATGGTTCATCGGGCTTCTTTTTTTAAAACTCAGATTCAAGGGAAAAAGGACCAGATTCTTCTCATGCTGCAGTTTGGCCCACTTAATTTATGACTGCATTGGAATGCACTGGGGAAAGATTCTCTCTAATCTCTCTGTATTGTCTTAATTATTTATAGGACTGGTATTTACATTTAAAATACTGCCATGACTATTCGTCCAGGCACTTTCTGATCATGCTTAGAATGGGAAAGAGTCTAAATACTTGTTTCTGCATTCAGTAGTATGTCTGATTATTTAATTAATACAGCTATTAAGTTGTATGATAGCTCATTCTAGTAATAGACTCCTTATTCTTTCCTTTGTGCTAGTTCCTAGTGTAAAAACAGAATTCTGTTTTTCAGAAAGAACATATTTAGCTTGCACTGCTTATCAAAGAAAAACTGTTTGTTCTGAGGAGCAAAAAAGCATGAAGAAAGGAACTGAATATTTTAATTCTTCCAATATAAGCTGCCTTGATAGTCCAGGTGACATAGAACATATAAAAACAATAGACCAGATAGAAAATAATAATAAACAAAACAAAAAATTATATTACTGTACCAGGGAGGAAATAACAAGAACTGAGGGATTTAAAAAAACAGTGTCAGTGCAGGATTTTAATATAAATTATTAGTTGCTATAACAACAAGCAGCTTGATGAGGGAATAGAGAATGAATAGTACCCTCCAGGACCACAGAGATTTATTTTTATTTGTTTGTTTATTTATTTAAACAATTTATAGAGCTGCCCATCTCACCAGCAAGTGACTCTGGGTAGTGTACAACAAGGCTAAAACAATTAATAAATACTGTACATTAAAAGATATAAAACCAACTAAAACAAACAAAAAATAGCAGATGAAGGGATGTTAAAAATAATGGAGTCACCTCACTAGCCCATCCATCCCCAGGGGTCCCCAGGCCTGTTGGCATAACCAGGTTTTGAGGGACTGACGGAAGCTCAACAGTGACGAGGCCAACCTCACCTCAGGGGGGAGAAGATTCCACAGCGTGCACACCACAGCAGAAAAGGCCCACTG